TGTGTGCGTCACACTGTGTTTACCCTTACTTATATATATAAATGTGTGACGTCACTTTGATAGTTGATCCTATACGACGTGGCACATAACAAGTGGCCTAATAAGATAAGGTGATGTAACTTCGTTGACGAGTGTCAGTCATCGTTTTCCGGATGATCTTTGTCGGTTTCCGGATGACCAAATGTGAACTGGTACTTGTACATCCCAACATGGTCATCCGGAAATCGACGTGGATCATCCGGAAAACGATGACTGACACTCGTCAACGAAGTTACATCACCTTATCTTATCAGGCCACTTGTTATGTGCCACATCGTAAAGGATCAACTATCAAAGTGACGTCACACATTTAGTCTTAGATGCATGATTTGTTTTTATTAGTTGTTATTGGCTTTGAACTAGCTGTGTCAGTAACTGCGAGTACTCTCAGATCTGTACTACATGTAAGTGTCTTTTTGCTCTTGGGATGAACAAATACCCGTCCACGTCCACTCTGTGTTTTTGTTAGATGTATTTCTATTTGTATCCATCTGATGAGTTTAGCCTTTTTCAACTGATTTGTATAGTTTGTTCTTATATTGTACTGTAACATCATGTTCCAGGTTAGGGGAGGGTTTGGCGCCCGCTAACTTGTTCAATCACGCCACATTCTGTATGTGCCTGTCCCAAGTCAGGAGCCTGTTATTCAGTGGTTGTTGTTTGTTGCTGTGTTACATATTTGTTTTTCGTTTATTATTTTGTACATAAATTAGGCCGTTGGTTTTCTCGTTTAAATTGTTTTACATTTGTCATTTCGGGGCCTTTTCTTATAATAGCTAATTATGCGGTATATGTTTTGCTCATTTTTGAAGGTCAACCGGTGACCTATAGTTGTTAATTTCTGTGTCATTTTGGTCTCTTGTGGAAAGTTGTATCATTGGCAATCATACCACATCTTCTTTTTTATACATCCAGTCTAACATGAGGGACGAGTGTATAAGGACACATTACTTCACAGTATGCCTCACGATTACTTCCGGTGACATCGGCAGTGGGCGTGGAATGATTTATAAGGCTGGTTTGCTTACCTGCTCTAATGCATTTAGGCATGCATGAAATATCTCTCACTACTATTAACATGTATGAATAAAGGGACAAATAATTAGAATGAAATGCACGAGAATCTTAATAATAAAAATAAATTTGCCGAAAGAGAGAAAATAAAGTAATAGAAATTATCTAATTAAAAGTATAAGTACTCCTTAACTGCAAAATCCTGGACTTTTTGTCGGCCTACACACATCACCATGTTTTATATTCCTTTTTTGTTTTGTATAAACAGAAACAAAACCTGTGTATTTAAGAATTTAATACTTAATTTTAAAATGTATTGGGTGTAAAAGCGTTGACCAAAACCCATTGTGTATTACTGAGCTTCATATTAAAGTAGTGCGCACAATCAACGCTTTTAGGATCCTATAAGATTATAAAAAGAAGCATTCCATACTTATGATAACATTGTTCAGGTAACATAATGAAATTAAGAGTTATATCACACTTTGATTTTGTTTGTCTATGCATTGTTATACCATTGTCACGGACAGCACACGCAGTCATAGCTAGGTGTTGTATATTATATGGAAATACAATATGATACTGGAGTGCCTTTCGATTGTTGTCAGCCAATCAAAATCATGGATACTAATGAAATATACATGTTCTGTAATTATTTAGTATTTCGAAATGTTTTATGATGTATAAATTCATGACTCAAAGTTAGTACATGCGCATGAAAAAGCCCCAAAAAAGTCTTTCACATATGCATTTATTAAACAAACAGGAAACGGGTCAAACAGATAGTGTTTCGAATTCTTTTTAGACATGCGAAAAGAATTATTAACATTGAATCCATTTGTTTTCTTCATAATGAGCTTATTTCGCAGTCAGAACTATTATTTAATTCCATTTAACACTGTAAGCCCCGGATCAACATCTATTTGTATCCGTTGAGATAATCTGTCAAAAAACTGTAAATACGATTAGAATTGAAATTTTAATGTACATGTATAAAATCAAACAAACATAATTTCTCTCTCAATCACACGATTAGTCGATTATCTTATCATCCAAAAAAATCCACGCGTCGTAAAAACCATGATTTGTTATATTATCGATGACACATTAATTTCATCGGTACGACCTTACTAGGCACAGAAATATCATGTGGGATAAAGCTGGTATTTGGGGGGTATATACTGACCTAGACTACAGCATTTTTCGTTAAGCTAGGATAATAACGCGATGTATATCGTCTTAATAACGTACTCGAGAATTAAAATGGAACAATATAAGTTGGATGAATTTAAAATTCCGACTTTAGATGAATTTAACTACAATAGAGCTTACTGCATAATGGTAAGCATTAAGTATTTTCAAGGTCTACACCGTTAAAAATTCTTATTTTACTAACGTCTCTGCAACAAATGCTTGTACATGTGTCAGTTGGCTATGCTTGAAATGGTTCTATATATTTATTTATTTGATTGCTATTTATATATATACATTTATATTGATATCCTGTAATTAAGTTGTGTATACTACTATATGAAGAATTTACTAATGTTTCTTACCAACGAACACGTTTCTGCTTCGTTATGTTTCTTGTTTGCTAAGAGTCTACTGGCATATACATTTGTATTGCAAGACGAGCACATTAAACAATAATCTAAAGAAAAAGGTTCTGAAAAAGGATAAACATGAATGGTGGGCGACAACTTGGTACTGCCACAAAAAAGATGGTATGTTGAAAGTGTGCCATGCTACCAACGGACCAATATGACAGATCTCTCAAAAACATTCTTAAGAAAAACATAAATTGATTTGTTAATTTCGGAAAACAACGCGTAACTGAAACTATGTGGGCATGTTTATTAGATACATTTAGAAGGTCAATTCTATAACAATATGTGCCTAAATTGCTTAAATACATTAACGGTACGTTCCAATTTATCAAAACATGTGAATATTTTTATTACAGAAACATTTATACCTAGCCTTATTATGTGCAGTATGTGTAGTGAATGGTGTGGATCCGTCTAGAAAAAATGGTATGTCTATTTCAAGTTATGCACAATTCTTTAATATGTATACCCGACTCAAGCTAACGAATAAGTAGAGAGCGAACAATTAGTATCTGCATCTCTGCTGAACACATGTACATGTATATAATTGATTGGTTGATTGATTGATTGTCGGTTGCATAACGTCCAGTGGCAAATATTTCATGCATGTTCAGGACGAGAACAAATTAACAATAAATACAATTGGTAGATCCTGTAATAGAGGTCAACTGGGTTGCAACAGGCCACCTACGGACCCCTCAAAGAGTTGTTGCAATGGTTCTTAACGTGCAGTGAGCGTGACACTATCTCTACATGAGGCATCGGATTTAACCTCCCCATTCTGACCGGATGTGGCTTCGTACTTGATACATCCCGCACAGCCAAACGGACGCCCAACTGCCGGTCGAAAGAAGACCTGTAGTGACTATATTTCTATTCCCCAGTCACCCATGGGTATATAAGCTATGCATTAAACATAAACGAGACATCAACCAATTATTCAATCGGTTACAGGTTGTTAAAGTTGACATTAATATAAAGTATCAACATTTTGTTATTTGTGGATTTCTTTATGATTATTTCTACAAACAGCAGACGGGTATGATATATCGGAACGGAACATAACAAGTTAAATAAAATCAATGCAATTCGAATGCACGTTGATTAGTCGGCAACATCCATTTATTAACCTGCAGTACCTATATCATGTGAAGCTTAAATTTCCCCAGAAGCTGGTATTGATGGTTGATCATTAATTGTATATGTCGAATTTATAAGCAGCTTCTCTAAACTCGAAGCGATGTGAATCCGGTTTGAGCCTAAGATGGGAAGTTAAATGCTTGCTGCGTGTTTATTATAAGCATTTCAAGACATTGTACAGTGGATTTAATGTAGATTAACTGTATACCGCCATCTTGGATTGTAAAATAGCAGTACACAATCGGTCTTCTTCTATGCTTAAATTTGCAAATATTTATTTATAATAATTAATGTGTTGTTAAATGTAGTCAAAGAAGTGAGTTGTTACATTATTTTTTGTTAAACAGACTGTTTTAACAAATACAAATTGTTTGTTCGATTCGATTGTTCAATTAAACAATATAAGGGGAGATAACTCTTATAGTAAAAATGTTATACTAAAATGATAGTGAAATTTTCATTTTTTCCTTGTAGCAAGAAAACAAGTTCGGTAAAACCATTTTGTCTTTTTATTTTCTTAAAACATATTATACATGTATCTTCTCATATTTTATTTCAAATTCTATCACATAGATTTCTTTTATTAAAAAAAATTGTTTTCCACGAATAATCTATGCACAATTGGGCAAATTTGGACGACTTGTAGCTTGAAAAAATATCACGGTAACACCATTCTTTTGATAATAATTTGTAAAAAGGCACGACAAAATCTGCATTCTGGCAAAGTATAAGAAAATTCTATCTGAGGAAATATATAGTGATGATCCACCTTAAATATTCTCGTAAACAGCTTATTTGTCCGTATATACGATATATAAATCAAGCCAGACTCGTAAGCGTATAATGTGTATTGTTTTGTATTTTAAAGTTAAAATTAACAACTAATGGTATTTACAAGCGAACTTACATGAAGAATTTCACTTAAACATAATTAGATAGAAAAATAAGAATCATCGAAAAAATCAATCTTATAATTTAATACGCTAGACCCTTACTGAAAAAATAAAAACATACTTAGTCTATTTGTTTTATATTATTGTAACACGAATTATATTTTTTTTTACCAAATTTTGAATATTTTGTCATCTGTTAATTACAAATATATACTCGACATCTTCCACGTATTTTCCTAATCATGCATATATATAATATAAATTTATTGATCTCTTTGCCTTAGAACGAAGAAAGAAACGTAATGTAATGGTCATTAAGTCTGAATCAGCACCTACTAAGACAAAACTACAGGCCATCTGGCCAGTACTAGATTCTTTGTCAGGATTAGAAGATGGAATCAACCCAACACCTAGTCCATTAGGAAACACAGGACTAAATCCAACACCTAGTCCAACAGGAAGAAAACATCTATCACCAACACCTAGCCCAACAGGAAACATAGGACCAGACCTAACACCTAGTCCATCAACAACAATTGAATTAGTACCCACGCCTAGTCCATCAGGAGACAAAGGACCAAATCCAACACCTAGTCCATCAGGAAACTTAGCATTAACACCAACACCATCGCCATTAACACCAATAGTATCCAACGGTGCTCCAACGTCTAGTCCTACTACAGAATCAAGATCAACAAAACCCACACTGAAGAGTGTAAAATTGTCTAACACAACTATTCACGCTTCCATTATTGGGCACCAACATTTTTCAACGACACCACAAAATGGAGCTGAGAAAAAAGAATCTGTAATCTATTCTCTTGTATCTTATTGCTGTTTGATTGTACTGATTAACACTTAACACATTCTGGCATACTTATACACACGGAAATAGTTACTTAGTCTGTGTTCAGGTTTTTAATGATATCATTTCTAGATAATTTGAATTATTTGTGAATGTGTCACATGATCAGAGGAAGCAGAATAATAGTTCATATAGACCGATATATCTTTCTGCAACTTTAACCAGTAGGCTAATGTCACATCTATTGTCAATTTGTTTTGTTTATCGGCATGTTTCAGTTTGGCTTGCTGAAGGATGTATTCTTCTGACATTTCAGTCTCGTTGAAATCTCGTTCTGGAATTATTTCCAAAACATGTGATACAAGTGAAAAATATCAATGAATTTAAAAAATATTATAATCAAATTTAACTCTGTGAAAAAATTGTGTATTTACAATAAGTAGTTTTTGAGTAATAACATTTTTAAATTTTATAACCAATCAAGTCAGTCTCATTAGCCAAAATGTTGAGCAAATGGGTTGAGGGGTACAAGAAATGATTTTACCAGATACATGTACATCCCATATCAATTTTTTCTTTTCAAATTTCTTAGATATGTATTTTTTCAATCATTTATAGCAAAGAAGTTGAAATAATATGCTTTTTGTTCTAAAAAAGAGAAAAATCCCAAATTTACAAAATTGACAACATGGTAAATTTGACACGAAAAAGCAACTAATATTTATAAAATTTTCTTATATTAACATCTACCCATAGTTTTTTTAAGTTAAATTTATTCAGATTGGTCCACTTCATCTTTAGTGAAAGTATGAAAAAAAGTTTAATTGTGAAACTGTTTTTTTTTTTTTATGATAATAGCCCAAAAATGGGTAAAAATTGATGAAAAATGGGAAAATCATCAACATTGAGTACTTTCAAATGTCTGTAGCAAAAAAAGAAGTGCACCACCATATGATTTTTTCTTCACTAATTATTGTTTTACAGTCATATAAACCCAAAAATCAGGTAAAGAAAAAAAGGTTTAATTCTAGAAATTTTTGGCTCCTCAGAGGTGTACATCCTTAAGTAAAAATTACATTTTTTTCATTATGCATACTTGTATAACAAGCATATTGTAACAGCAGCAACTTTAACAAAATATTCCATGACAGTGAATAAATAAATATTTACACAATCGATGAAAACATTTAATGTTGATAAAATTGACATGTAATGTTAGTAATTCAATTTTATGACCATTTATATAATTATTGCAGAGATTTAAAGAGTGTATAATTCAATTTGGAAGACCAAATTATTTCAATAATTTATGATATAAGAATAAACTTTGTACGGTAGCTTTTTTTAATGGATATTTATTAAATAAAATATCAGCGTGTGTGTGTGTGTGTGTGTTGTCATAGTTGTTCATGTGATCTAGGATAGTATATATAATATATTCCTGCAAAGAAAATCAATCTTTAATATCTTTGTTCACCTAGAAGGAGATGTATGATTTTCGTAAATAACCAAACAACACAACAATATCATATATATAAAAGACATACGATCTTCAACAATACACACATAATAATATTTATTCAATACATCAAGCTGTAATAACTTAATCTTAGTCTAGATAAGATGCGAATACATGCAACAAAATAATGTAGACTGCCATGAACATCAAATTCCTACAAAAAAAGGAGGGGGGGGGGGGGGGGGTCGGGCAAAAACAATTAAGGCAAACCATTGATCGTGACTTGGTCCAGGCTTATAAATTTGTGGCGATTTTGAATATGGATAAAAGGATGTGTGGAGAATACACACGCCAATGAGAAATCAACCAAACTAAAAGAAAAATTCAAAACGACAAAAAGCAACTAGAGGGCAACATATTTTTCAAGTTCTTAATCACCCTACGTTTATGATATCTTTACAGAAAGAATCTAATATACCCGACTTACCTAATAACGAAAATATTTATTAATAAGATAAAGGTTTCTGGACTTTTTTGTCACTGAAATCTTATTTTGGAAAAAAAAAACAAACAAAAAAACAAAAAAACAAACAAACCAAAACAAACCAATTTTACAGAAAACTTACATGCAACTTTATTCATATTTTGGGAATAAAACCAATAATTATGCGAGGTGTATAGTGATTGCCTTTGAGACAACCAGTCAACTGAGTTCAAATGAAGTGGATTAACGCAACTATGGTACTGCATGGCCTTCAACAAAGAGCAAAACCCATACCGTATGATAGCTATAAAAGGTACCAACATGACAAACGATGACAATAGGTTTATCATTTTTTTAATACCATCGAAGCATATCTAGATCAAACTTAGTCACAATTTTACTCAACATTTGAAAAGGGCTTTTAGCCATGCAAATAGTTTTATGTTGCATAAGTTTGTCAAATTATCGATTCTACGGAGCCCCGTTGATGACCTTTACAGAAACAAGTTATGTATAGTGCTCACACAGTATTATATTGTGCGGATAGGTATTATTTTGTGCACTCAATTTAATAATTATTAGTGCGCACAACATATCATTGCATTGCGTCCTACATATTATTTAATGATTTGTGCGCACGATATATATATATATTTCTGAGTAAGTCCACAATAAGGTTTCGTACGATTCAGGCTCTTGCGAGAATTCAGTTTGTAAAGTGCTACCGAAGAAACGTCACCTAAAGATCTCTGAAGTGAATGCATGCAACTATAGGTCTTCAACAATGAGCAAACCTCATCGGCTATAAAAACCCTTATTAAGAAAACGTAAAACAAATAAAACCACAAAAAAAAACCAAAAAACAATGGCAAGACAAAAACATGACAAAACAAGTGACAAAAATATATATGACAGGCAGCAACAAAGACAACCCTGAATTACAGGTACCATGGTTTTGGAATAGACACACATATATAATATAGCGGGGTTAAATCTGCTTTTGTGATAGGGTGCATGATGATTTTTATTTTTTAAATGTTGCATGCATAACAGCTTATTTGTTTTACACCTGAATATTTATTATCTACCAGGTTTTATATCCTGCTCCTTGATATGCAGAATTAATTATTAATATTTTTTGATACATATGACGTGGCTCTGTACTTATACATCCCGTCATTGTGTTATTGTAAATTTTTGTATTCTTGTCTTTCATTTTTGCCAATATGCTTTGTCTATATGCCTTTTTGTGCTTCTTTGTTACATATTTGTTTGTTTTTATAGTGATTAAGATTATAACACAATGTTGACTGCTGTATCCCTTTTTTTGACATATTAACCTTTTATGTCTGTTTGTTTTGTTCACACATAGTTGTCAATATAATAGAATTTGATGCGACTGTCATACAAGTGAGAGGTTTAGCTAGCTATAAAACCAGGTTTAATACACCATTTTCTACATAGGAAAATGCCTGTACCAAGTCAGGAATATGACAGTTGTTATCCATTCGTTTGATGTGTTTGAGCTTTTGATTTTGCTATTTGATTGGGGATTTTCCGTTTTGAATTTTCCTCGAAGTTCAGTATTTTTGTGATTTTAATTTTTTGCTATCATTCTGTTTTGAAAATTTAAAGATGATATCATCCCTAAATTTGTCATGGCTCCCAAAAAGACCGAATGGTCGTCCTCTCACAGTTCCAAAACGACTGCATTTAATATAAACATTTTCTCGTCCTGAATATATTCATGGAATATTTGCCACTGGACGTGAATCAAAAACCAATTAATCAATCTAAAAATTAATGACTATTTGTTTTATAAAGTTTTTATAGGTTGTTTTTCATCTACATGTATGGCTAAATAAACTTCACTATACAAACAGTACGTATCATTGACTCTAACTCTTTGCGTAAACAATATCCGATTGAGGAATTCATGTACGTATACAGAAAAGTAATCACCCTCTCAGATTAGAAAACATGTAATCAGCAATAGCAACCGACAATTAACTATAGACAACTTCAGTATGCACATACCCAAGACGTATAAATAAGCAATGCAGGATACTAAAAACATAAGAATGAATAAATGTATGGGAGGTAAATTAAGACATCAGAAGCAACTCTTGGATAAAATAAAACATGACAACTTTATTTTCATTTGGAATAAAATAAACAAAGAAAAATGCTCGAATAGCTTTTGTCCGAATGTTTATAACATATAAGTAACATTTAGATTCAATGGTTAATCAAGAAAGCAGCACATGCAAACATCTAATTAAAATTGAAAAAGCAGTAAATGTTAATCAATTAAGTTAACAATTTGTTATATTTTTATCTTTCCAATGGCAAATGCTCTATTACCCTTCACAGAGACACTGGATCAATTGTGCGCTTTATTATAGATACGGATTGTTGTTATGTCCAATACGTCATAGCTAATTACATTGAATTTGAATGTTGATATTTAATATTAACAGAAAACTCAGCTTAATAAATGAAATGATACATTGATGAGAGAGTGATAGAGCCTATTGTTATCCCTCGAAAATTCTTCAACACAGATCCATGATAAATGATAACTATCAGTGTTAGAATATTAATTAGGTGTCTGTATTCAAAAACACTAACTTCCTACCTTTTTGCGTACACAGAAGTTATTTGATTAATTTCACCTATCATTAAGTCTACAGCAAAGTCAGTGAAAATTAACATGTGACCAAGGACACGTGATTAAGCAGAACAGAGTCAGTATTCAGTTATCGGTATATTCTGTTATCTAATTAATTAGATTATTAATTGTTATATGATTAATCTTGTTTTTTTTTTGGTGACCATATGTCGCTGAAATCTCTTTAACATCAAAGATTTGATGAAGACGGAGGTAAATAATGTTTTGTTATTTGTACGTTTGAAATCTATTTCAATTGTTTATTGTAAGAATGTTCGCTTTTATTTTTTAATATAACAATCTTTTTAAACGTTTGTAAGAAATTGATAGTGTATAAATAAAGGAACTAAAAAAGCAGCAAAAAGAAAAACAGAAAAGGCCGTTTCCTTGTTTTTGAGATATAAGTGTAATCAATTGAAATTTTGAGGGAACTTTTCTCTAGAATTTTCGTACATTTAACCTTGGCACTTTTTTTCTTTCAAAATATAAGAAAAAGAACAAGAATTTGATAAGATTGAAAAAGATGCCTTTTTTTACTTGTATGTAATAAAAATTATAAAAAGAAACGTAGGGGTAAAGCGGGCGACTGTTTTAATTACACTATACACCGATAAAACCAGAGGATTCCGAATATCTGACAAAAAGTCAAAAACAAGAGTAGCGACCATCTTTAACATACTTACTGCTGCATTTGCTAAGAAGAAAGTTTTAATTTTGATCAACAGCTATTTTAGAACATAGTTAAATTAGCCAAAAGAAAAAAAGAAGTGAACAAAACAAAACAAAACAAAGCAAAACAACAGCAGATTTCCAGGAACCACATTGAGTTGGTCTTTTCTTACACATTATTTATAACGTAACACAGCATTGCTTTTAAACATATTGAACTTGTTGTGCTCAATTCATGGTTAATTTTCTTAATCTCATTTTGTTTGTTTGTAAATGTTAATAAATAAATATTGACCTTTCTGTAAACAAAAACAAGTGTCATACAACTGTCATAAAAGTGGGAGGTTTACCTAGCTATAAAGTTTAAACCCGGTTTAACGCCTGTACCAAGTCAGGAATATAGCAGTTGTTTTTCACTTTTGAAGACGATGTTAGAATATGTAACAGATGAAACTAAGCAAAATCAACATAATGAAACAAAAGACTACTAGCAGTTACTGACATGCCAACTCCAGACCTCAATTAAACTGATTGAAAGATTATGTCTTAATCATATGAAAATCAGGCACAATCCCTCCCGTTATAGGGGTTTAGTATCATACCATCATAAAATATATGAGAAGAACATAACGCGTATCAGGCCAACTGGCTTTAGAATAAATGTATTTATTTCCGATGCAAAGACAAAAAAAGTTTATATATAAGCGAAATTATTTAAAAGCAGATAAATGTATTCTTAATCAATTCATATCATTTTTCTAATGATTTTGATTAGCTTCGTCATTTTTTCTATTGTATGTGAAGGTAAAGTTATGTTTAGTACTTTTATTTTCAGAAAAATGGGCGGTTTTAAAGGAGGATGTATGTTTCTTATCACATTAATAATTGGCGGGGTAAATTCAAATTTTAATCCAAAAGGTATGTACAATGCTAAATTTTGTTACTATTGTTTGTTGATTTTATTGCTAGACTCAAGCTAAAGCAACCACTCGCTAACAGTCAGTTTTCAGATAAACTAGAAACATACGATGCAGTCCGGTAATTCCGCCCACATAAGGCTTTGATCGTATGTATTTCTGCTTAAATATATACAAATTGTATCACATAAATCTATTTACTGACATCTTAATTTTGAGAATTTTATCTCATTTCCCCAAACATATCTGAAATAAATTTTAAAATCAACAAAACAAGTGGGCCATCTGTGTTTTTATCGGAAATGTGCTTGTCCGGTAAATCCGCCCATGCGCAGTAAATGTGTATGTAGGGCCAGTTTATTACATAATTATGAAAGGAAAGTGGTGATTTATTTATAGACCACTTATAAAGGGATTATTACAGACAATCGAAAAAAAAAGAATTTCAAGTCAGAAATAATTTTGTAAGCAATAATATGATTATCATTAGCTTTAGGAACTGTACTATAGATATCACTCGATTTTTTCTTAATAAAGGATTTTTCTTTAAAAGTTGACATACAGTGAGGATAAGTACAGTTCCTATGAATAAAATAGCAGACGAAATATTCACGGAAGTGACAATTACGGAGGTAGATGGAAGTGGGCGGGGTTTACCGGACGGGCGTTTTACCCTTGTCCGTCTGTACGTACGTCCGTCCGTACGTCCCAAAATTGGTTTCCGTTCTCTAACTTGAGTTTGCCTCAACCAAATGTTATGAAACTTATACACAATGCTTATTACCACAAAACACAGATCAAATTTGAATTTTGGTGGTGTCACTTTAACCGTTCTAGAGTTATGCCCCTTTATAAATGGAAAAATTGCAAAATTTTTCATTTCCGTTCTCTAACTTCAGTTTGCCTCAACCAAATGTTATGAAACTTATACACAATGCTTATTACCACAAAACACAGATCAAGTTTGAATTTTGGTGGCGTCACTTTAACCATTCTAGAGTTATGCCCCTTTATAAATGAAAAAATTGCAAAGTTTTTATTTTTTCTTCTAAATATCATTTAATTTTTAAAATTGGAGTTATCTTCCTTTGTCCATGATTATATATATATAGTTGAATATGCTTTATACAATGCAATGTTTAATTTTGACTTCCACTGATAAAACACAGATCAAGTTGAATTTGGGTAGTGTCACTTTAACCATTATTGAGTTAGGCCCCTTTATAAATCGAAAGATTGCAAAATTTTTAGTTTCCATTCTTTAACTTAAGTTTGCCCCAACCAAACATTTTGAAACCTATACACAATATTCATTACCACAAAACTAAGATCAAGTACAAAGTTTTTGTTTCCGTTTTCTAACTTGAGTTTGCCTCAACAAAATGTTATGAAACTTATACACTATGCTTATTACTACATAATACAGATTAAGTACGAAATTTGGTGGCGACACTTTTACCATTCTTGAGTTATGTCCCTTTATTTTCAAATGAAATGTACGCATTTTATGTTAAGCAAATAAATCGTCTCTACAGAAACAGGCGCATATGAAAATCCAGAAAAAAATAGGAACCAAAAATGATCTTACAGTTTAATGGGGAGATTTTTTAATTTTTTTTCAGTGACTGTACACGAATGCAGCAAATCTAAAGTGACACTTGAAGTAGAAAGAGCTGCTGAAGGAGGAATCATTTATATTCAAGGTCAAGGGTCAGCATGTCTTCAGACGACAACTTCTACTTCCCGCCATTACGAATTCCATTTTGACATATGCAATATTACATATGTAAGTCTTACCTACAATACAAATTCGGGAAAGGAGACTATAAAAACACCATTGCGTTTGACTAGCTGCTTAAAGTTTAATATATATATAAAGTGCACCACTTCGCTTCAAAAGATTCCACCGTACCATTCGGAGATCGAAGTTGGATCTCCTGTCACAGTAATGTTAAGACACTGCTCCTTTAAGCCTTGATGTAAAATACTTGAATAATCATTTAGTTTTTGGAATCTTTGAATTAATTTTTTAAAGGTAAGTAAAAATACAATCTCACCATGTCGTTTATCCGAAACATTACGCATTAAAAATGTGTAGATACATGATAAACGCTTCAGACGCAATTTGCCGGTTTAGAACTTAAAGAACTATGGATAATTTCACAGTTTGTATCCCATGCAAATTGTTCACGACGTTGTTATTCATTGATTGATTGATTGTTGGTTGCTAAACGTCCATTGGCAAACGTTTCATGCATGTTCTGGACGAGAACAAATTAAAAAAAAAACCAATAGTTAGGTCCTGTCATAGAGGCCGTCCGGGATGAAGGTCGGGAAAATTTAGACTGCCACTGGAAATGACGGTATATTGGATAGGGACAGAAATATAGCATTGCAATAGGCCACCTACGGACTTCTCAAAGAGTTGTTACGACGGATCTTAGCATGCATAAAGCATGACACACATCTTACATCAGATTTAACATCCCATTCTGACCGGACGGAACTGCGTACTTGTACATCCCGCACAGCCAAACGGACGCCCAACTTTAGCAAGGGATTTAGTACCGGCCGGAAGAAGACCTGTAGTTACCATATTTCTATTCCCCACTCACCTTTGGGGGTTGTTTATCTTTGGCCAATCACAACGTTTTGGTTTTTCTGTTTTGAAATATTACCCTGAATGCCTTATATAATGAAACGGTGAATTGATTGCTGTTGAATTTAGATGAATTATAATTCCTTTGTTGTCGAGCTAAAACGTCTGTTTACTTTGCAATGGTAGCAATGGTATATCTCAAAATCCCTTTTTCCTCTGTTCTTTATATATTCTTTTCGACTATTTTTCTCTATTCTTTATTTTTGTCCAATATTTCTTCATTTTTTGGCCAATTTTTCTCTATTCTTTACTATTTGGACCATTTTTCTGTAACAAAGGTTCATAATTCTCAGCCAGACCCTTTACTAGTGTGTTATATGGAATATCAAGTGTCGATAGTATTACAATTTATGCAAAGCGAAATTAACGTAGAAACATACAAATATGTCATCTATCGTAATGACAAACATAGTTTGATATTTTTTTTTCATGTCGGGGCCTTTTAAAGCCTACCATACAGTATGGGTTTTTCTCATTGTTGAAGGCTGTACGGTTGCCTATAATTGCTTACATCCACTTCATTTGAACTTTGGTGGATAGTTGTCTCATTGGCAATCATATCACATCTCCTTATTTTTATATACACGAATATTAAATGTCACAGAAATATAGTGATAAAATTTTTGTTTGAATATATAGCAGGCCAGTTAAAACATGATTGCTATAGCATTAACACATGCACGGCATATGTGCACGGAGTATCCATTCATAATTGCTTCGTTGATGACAATCAATTTGCAGTACACCTTTACATCAGAATTGCTTCACTTTTGACAACCAATTTGCAGTACACCGTTGCATGATATGTTCTCGAACCTTGCGTATTCTTTTAGATTATTGTGTCTCTTTTATTTTCTAGATGAAAATATGTAGTTATATAGAAAATATTGAACAGATCCATATTTTGCTCTGTGGTCTCTCGACTGCGAGAGGTCTTGAGTTCGATCCCTACCTAGACAAAAAAAAAAAGAAAAAACGGTCTAAGCGAGTCGATCTCGTGCAAACCAGGGTTCATATGCATATACATATCCTATTATCATAATATTGCCACGAATATGCACGCGATACTTGCCGCTGGAAAATAATAAATCAATAAAAATGTCACCCTTGTGATAGCAAAAAGGTTCTTATTTAACTTTTGAGTTTTCATGTTTCATTCTCCTTTTTTCAATTTTTTTTAATAAAAACGTTACATGTATGTGTCCTACAGATTGAATAATCAGTCAACTGTGAATAATTAATTTATCTATATTGATGCACGAAGAATGAACTATTTTATTCAAATTTTTCAAATACCAAAAAGGATAAACTGCCCAATAGTCAGCACTTCAGTTTTGACATGAATTATCATTGATTTGGTCAAACTAATGTTCATTCTAAATTAACTTTAAAAAAAAACAACTTTTTTTTAAATAATAAGGATATTCGATCCCAGGATTAAATTACATTAGCTTTATTTTGCAAAATTTGTCGGAATTTTGGTTCCTCAATGCACTTCAACTTCACACTGTATTTGTATTCTTTTTATTCGAGCGTCACTGATGAGTCTTTTGTAGACGAAACGCGCGTCTTGGGTACAACATTTTTGGATATCTTTGCTGAGTTTAATATTAACATTTAGTTAATTGTTGTTTTGTAGGGTACAGTATTCCGTGTGATTGTCCAGAAATATCCTACAATCCAGACCGGATATGACAAAGTTATTCCGGTCACGTGTTTAGTCGATCTAGCAGAAATAGCAGTAATTGAAGAGGTTCTCCCAAAGTGAGTTTTCTACAAATAACAAAACAATGTGTAAGAAATTTTACATAGCCGACTATACGGTATGGATTTTTCTCATTGTTGAAGGCCACAAGGTTACCTATAATTGCTTACATTCTCTTCATTTGAACTTTGGTAGAAATTTGTCTTAATTGCAATCATACCACATCTCCTTATTTTTATATTTACATTTATATTCAACTTGCAATCAAATATAATATACGAACCCTTGTATGCTTCTGCAGGCGGATATGAATGTGAAGTGCAGGTCATGTTTAAAATTTGTCATTCCGAGGCCTTTTAAAGCTTGTTATGCGCAATCAGTTTTGCTCATTGTCGAAGGCCGTAAGGTGACATAAAGTTGCTAGCTTCTATGCCATTTGATCTCGGATGGAGGGTTTTCTCATTGGCCATCATACTACATCTTCTTGTTTTTTATATTTTAATTTGAGTAATGACTTACAAAGGGTATGTGAATTGCAGTCTTCTGAGTGATCCCCACATGCCATAGTTTTTCCTAATTTGAATGCATATGATGCGTGTTAATGTGTTACTTGGTTATTTGAAAGTTGTTTTTTAAACGTCCAGTGGCAACCATTTCATAGATACTTAGGACGACGAGTGTTTCTTTGATGTATTCAATATTGTTGATTGACGTCCAGTGGCAAATATTTCATTATATTTAAGACGGGTGCTACTTGATTAATTATGATTAACTTATCGTGCAGTGGCAAATATTTCATGTATATTCAGTACGACGGGCGATGATTAAGTAATGTTTTCTTAATGATAAATTGCAAATAAATCGGAATACTCTGGATTCATGTATTTCTATTCCAGGAAGGACGATGACATTGGTGTTAATATTACTACGAAACCTGTCGCAAATCTACGAGTTTATACCAGCATTAAAAATGACATTAGCGGAGGCGGTGTAGTCAATCTCAACGACTCAATTGCAATGACAATTACACTGGCAGATGACTTTACGGGTATGTACTACATCGACTTTAATATTAAGTTTTTAGGAAGTTCGCTACTCCTGTTTTGGCATAGTGTAAGATATTCGGAGTCCTCTGGTTTTATCCATGAAGTGCTGATAAATAGTTTTCCCGCTAACCCCTACTTTCCTTTTCATAATTTTATTACATATAGTTTAAAAAGTCATACTTGAAAATCTTATAAAATCGTTGTTATTTTTTGATAGTTTTTGAAAGAAAAAAAGTGCCAATGTTAAATGTATGAACAATCTAGAGAGAATGATTTCCCGCCAATTTTTAAATGGCTCATATCTCGAAAACAAGATGACGGACCCTTCTTTTTTTCTCCGTTGTTTATATCAAAGTATTTTAAAGAGCTTGTTTTTTGTTCAAACAGAGTAGAGAACATCCTTCAATTCAATGTGGTTATTTAGTGGATAAGTTAAAACGACGGTAGTTGACTGCTGTTGAGTTATTCTCATGTGTGTGCATTATTTAACAACAGTCACTGCTTTATACGAATTCTGATACTCGCGAACTATCTAAGATACTATTTAAATGAAATAGCGTTGCAGAAATCTAATACGAACATTTGTCAAATAAAAACTTAACCTTTTTTTCTTATTTTGTGTTTAAATTATACTGCTTCTTTTCAACGAAAAGGATTTTCAAAATGAATTTTAAAGTTAGATTATTATTAACTTTTGATGCACAATAACCTATTGAGGAGTAAATCATGTCTTATTACGTATGTAAGAATGTTATATACATTAGTACCTTAAGTTTCAGCTTTTACAATCATTTTGTTCTTCATTTAACCATTTTAGACACGTATGATATAAAAGCAATAGAGTGCACTGCCGCTATGGTTAATATAATAGAAAACGGGTGAGTATACATCAAGGGAATCAACTCCCCAATGCCTACCTTTCCGAATCACTCATCGTCTTTTGAGCTGATGTCGATGTTGTCTTTTTTCTCTCGAATCATGACATTATACTAGGTATTCATACCTACCTTATATACAATATCAATACATTAATTGGTAAGGGTCTGTATTTGTAGGTGAGTAAGGAAAGGGGAGATTCTGCATTTTTTAAGTTTTCGTGCTATTTTTTTTAATTTCTTTGCCCATACGTCTTTTATTTTTTATTATGTATATTATAGCTAGATATAAGAAGATGTGGTATGAGTGCCAATGAGAGAACTCTCCATCCAAGTCAAAATTTATAAAAGTAAATCATTATAGGTCAAAGTACGGTCTTCAACACGGAGCCTTGGCTCACACCGAACAGCACGCTATAAAGGGTCCCAAAAATTACTAGTGTAAAACCATCCAAACGGGATACTCTATTCTTTATTTTTTGGCTGCCCATTTTCTCTTTTTTTTATTTTGTTTGCCTATTATTCTTTATTCTGTCAAACTCATCTAGACATTCATTATTTGGTAGATAAACAAATCAATAAATGAATAAGATTTGCGCTATTCATAGAAATGCAAATATGTATTGAAATTTACGTCAATAAAACAGCAACCAAACGATACAAATACTAAAACATTTTGCTCATTGTTGAAGACCGTACGGTGACCTATAGTTGTAAATTTTTGTGTCATTTGGTCTCTCGTGGAGAGTTGTCTCGTTGGCAATCATACCAGATCTTCTTTTTATACTCAATACCATTAATTTATGTTTCTACGAGTAAGTTGTTTTCGTAGGCTTAAAGCATAGAAAGGAATAACAGAAAAGTGAGTAAATAAATCCCGCATTTTAAGACAAGCGTTTATCGTGGTCATACAGTTAAAGCTAGATTGTTTAAGGTATAAAACCACTAACTCATAGCCCATTGCTTTCTTCAACTCAATTGCAATTTCAAACATTAACGGCTTCTTTGTCTTAAGTTCAAATCAGTTATTTCATGTCAAAACTATATTCTGAACTGAACAACAGGGCGAATGTGCCCTCCTGTTAAAAATTTGTATACTTCTTTATTATTCAAAAGAAACTTTCAAAAAAGGTATCTATAGTAATTCAAAGTCCCCAAGCTTTCATTTGATACCAAAATTACCCATAAATTTTATCTATTGGCAAAGATACAGCAATGCGTACCAACTATTTTGTTTGAAATATGTACTACTTTCTTGTATGTTCTTTCCGACCGGGCCTGAATTAGTGTTTTTTTTTTACCTTAAACTATTGATATCTCCTTTATATTTAAATTAATGATCAATCTCATGATGGGTTCTGATGTTGGCCAACATAATCTTTTGATCTATATATCGTACAGTAAAACTTGTTTTACGATCTATTATCCAATCTGCAGCATCAATTTAGTCATTCATTACTATACAATTTTTTTTCCTCCTTCTCCTATGTCATACTAGATAATTGTTTATTTTTTCTGGTATTGTAGCTGCTCTGTCGACATGGAACTATTTCCAAATTTTCAACATTCATCCAATGGAAAGTTAACGTCAAATTTTCAAGCATTCCAACCAACTGATTTGACAGGAAAAGAGGAAGTAGATGTCGCTTTTTCTTGTCGTCTTGCTGTATGTAAAGGGAAATGTGATAACGTAAGTCGTAATTTGGAATGACACTAGAATAACCGTTTCAATTCAATAAAGAAAAGAAATTCGTACACCCATCATTAAAGCGTATTTTGACTTTATTCAACAGAATATAAAACAAAAACAGTTCTACCTAGTTATGAAAGTATATACGTTTAATGACATGAATTGCATGCATCACATACTAGTATGATGCATATATATATTTATTTGCAGACTGTCTGTGACAAGAATATAGGTCGAGGTAGAAAAAGGAGAGATACAAAGGACAACAAAATTGACGAAATTACATGCGGAACGTCTATAAAAGTGGCAAACCGGCAGAAAAATCACAACCTGCAAGGTAATGTATTCCTTTTCCTTTAATCCAATTGCTATTTTTTGCATTTGATTATCATAATTAAGTAGTTTTGTTAATTATTAACAATAGAATATATAATTTCATAATCAATCAAAGTTATTAATTAATTTTACTATGTAAAGTATAATAAAACTCATACAAAGATAAAGCGGATATCCAATACCAGCCATAAGGTCCTTTTTACCAAAAAGGTACTTGTCTTAGATGTTTACGGGATTTTTTACTTAAAAACATAACAATCTTTTTCTCTGTTTTATTGGTATGGTGTGCAACATTTAAAGTGGCCCGAAAAATATGTAATGTCATGTCAAACCAGACACCGTGTGTGTAGAGACATTGAATCCTTTGGTCTAACTCTTACCTGGTCTTTATGTCTGTTATTGTCAGAGGAGTGAGCTGTTGCCACAAGAGCTTAAATATGTATTCTATTTCATTATTAAGATATGCAGGAACGCAGAGAAAATATATAATTTATATATTTCAGAAAGTCCTGCCGAACCAGACACCGTGTGTGTAGAGACATTGCCAGCATACTTTGGTCTGACTCTTGCCGGAATCCTGTTTTGTTTGTCCTGGCTGCTGTCAGGATATCTGCTTCGACAACGACTCGTAGACAACTCTGAAAATAAGAGAATGAACGTTGCTAGGGCTGTTGGCAGACGACTGACTTCTATGTTGAACCTCCCGACCGGATATGACCTTAAAGAATCTAAGAGATTTGTTACTATACCTAGCTCTACTGACTCTACGCCTCCACAAAGAAGAAAGTCGGTTACGGTATGTTTTATATAGCGATAGTATTATTTATTTGAATAGGGGTTTCCATCTGTTTACTCTCATAACCGTTGTCATTTAGAAAGTGTTTTTTGAATTGTTTTATCCGTTGTTAAATTTTGGTAAACCAACAACCTTACTTAAAAAAATAAACAATCACTATCGCATACAGCATTTGTTTCTCATTTGTTCATGGTGAAGTATTAAACGTTAGTGAAATTTATCAGTAATAAACGTTTAATAAAAATGTCATTTAATTGACAAAAACATGTGCATGTTTTTACATTAACGTCAAAAGTAAAATAACAAAAAACCGAACTCCGAGGAAAATCCAAAACGGAAAGTCTATAATCAAATAACAAAATCAAAAGCTCAAACACACCAAACGAATGGATAACAACTGTCATATTTCTGACTTGGTACAGACATTTCCTTGTGTAGAAAATGATGGACTAAACCTGATTTTATAGCTAGTTAAACCATCTCACTTGTATGACAGTCGCATAAACTTCCATTATATTGACAACAATGTGTGAACAAAACAAACACACATAGTAGGTACAAATGTCAAAAATAGGGGTAAGGTAGAGACTATCAATATCGTGAAAGACTGTTTGTTGCCTTTTTGATGTTTTTGGGTTATTTTGGTCTTTGGGTGGTTACTGTCTCATTGACGTATACTTCACATTTTCTTTATTCATTTTTATGGGTTATTACATTTTTGACCAATAATTTGGAGTATACACTGTGTAAAAGAACCCAGGAACTTTAAAAGACAAATGTCAGTGTAACAGTTTACCGAGATCAAACATACAATATTGTAAATTTTATGTTTAATATATATACTGTAAATTTATATATTATTGCGAGGTTTTTTATTAATGAGAATAATGCGATTGGCTGGGTATCGCAATAAAAATACTCGTATTCTGATATCTGATGCATATATCTGTATGCAGCTTTTCTTGAAATCACAGAAATTAATCTCGCATTTATTATAAATAAGAAGATGGGATATGAGTGCCAATGAGACAACTCTTCATCAATGTATGTCCGCTCTTCAAAAATCACAATAATAAATGCACGCAATAATTTCAGAATTTACAGTAATGTAATATTTGTTTACTTTCAGGCCACCAAGATTGATATTAAATCCGAAGATTGACGACGCCGTATTCACCTTCGCCTCGTGTTTTGTGTGTGTGTAGAAAACATTTATAGTATTAAAACTGGGACAAGTACTGTCTGATACTTTGTCAAAAATATGTACATTAATTTTCTTAATCATTATGGAACGTTTAAAATATCAGGGTTTGTGTTAAGGTAGATGGGGGGTCTAAATTAAAAAAAAACAATAGATTGTTTTTATGATTTGCCAAAATGTAGTTTATATTATTCTTTTTTTTTTTTAAATAATAAAATGTATGGGTCACCAGGCTTTTTTTCACACTACAGATAGTGCAAAATTGTCACTTTGTATAGATTGTGCATGTAAAACCCAATTTTGTGTTAAAAAAAAGAAATCGTCATAGTCCGTCGTCGTTAACGTTTACAAAAATCTTCTCCTCTGAAACTACTAGGCCAAATTTGACGAAACTTCGCCACGACCTTCAATAGGGTGTCTTGTTAAAAATGTGCATGATGACCCTGTCTACTAAACAATATGGCTGAAATGGCTAAAAATAGAACATAGTGGTAACATTCAAGTTTTGTCTATTATCTTAAAAACCGCTGTAGATAGAGAAAATCTGACAAAAAAGAAATGCTCTAAATGATGTGATCTTAGTATTGTTCATTTCATCAAAACTGTCAGACGACTTCTTGTTGAAGTTATTGCCCTTAAGTGACGAATTTTAGCAATGTTTTATATTTTTGCCTATGATATTGAAAATTATAAAAGATAGAGAGAAAAGAAGATAGAGAAAACTAAAAACAGAAAAAAATTATCAACAAAAAGAGATGCGTTCTATTTTAGTCCACATGGTTAGAGAGTGTCCATTGTTGAATATTATTATTTTCTTTAATTATCAAGGAAAAATTCATCTGAAATATTGGTTTATATGTAAAGGAGGGACGAAAGATACCAGAGGGACAGTCAAACTCATAGATCGAAAACAAACTGACAACGCCATGGCCAAAAATAAAAAGACAAACAGACAAATAATAGTACAGATGACACAACATAGAAATCTAAAGACTAAGCAACACGAACCCCACCAAAAACTGGGGGTGATCTCAGGTGCTAAGGGTAAGCAGATCTTGCTCCACATGTGGCACCCGTCGTGTTGCTTATGTTATTACAAATCCGGTAAAAAGTCTAATTCGGTAGGTCACATTCGTGAAAAGGGAAGGGTATTGTAGTTACGACATAAGGAACATATCCGATATCATCTGTGAAACGGTTATTCCATAACGGTCAACCAACTCGTAATAGCGTCCGTAAAATTTACGAAGGGATGATTTCAACTTCACCATTTGGAACTCTTGGTTTAATAGCTTCCTTGTGAGCAGCAATCCTCTATCAAGGAAATCATGATAGGAAATACAAGCCCGGGAATATCGTATCAATTTGGAGATAAATATTCCGTATGCAGGCGCTGCTGGAATGTTGCTACATGTACATAGAAATGGAAAGTTCACAGTTGGGAAGCTGAAACCATCTCTTTTGTCGTAAAGTTTTGTTTTCAACCGACCCTCATTGTCAATTCCTAGATGTAAGTCAAGATATGAGGCAGACTTAACTGTATCTGTAAAAGTCAATATAATTGTTTTTAAACATTTAATTTATTGTTCTATCTTATGGTTTCTTATTTTCATTAGAGACGGAGTCACGAAATAACTGATGCATTTTTCATACTTAACACTTTGACTTAACGTATGCATCGGTTGTATACTGTAGTGCATTAATAAAAGGCGACGAAATAGGATTCAAATTGAATTATCTACCTTTAACCAGAAAAAAAATCTGAACATGTCAACCTTAGTCAGGAGCCTATTGTTCAGTGGTTGTCGTTTGTTGGAGTGGTTCAAAGATGTTTCTCATTTCTCGTTTTTATATAGATTAGACCGTTTGTTTTCCTGTTGGGATTGTTTTACACTAGTCATTTTGGGGCCCTGTATAGCTTGCTGTTCGGTGTGAGCCAAGGCTCCGTGTTGAAGGCCATACTTTGACCTATAACTGTTAACTTTTCATACATTGTGACTTGGATAGAGAGTTGTCTCATTGGCACTCATTCCACATCTTCTTTTTTATAATAACTCTAACGAGAAAATCCACAATTGCTACAGGACAAGAAAAAAGGAATAAAACATTTAGAACCATATACATTGAAAACAATTATAAACACATATATTTTGAATTAAAATAAAACAAAGAGATGTGGTATGATTTCCATTTAGACAATTATCCAGAAGAGTTCGCATGACGTAGGTTTAAGTAATTTAGGTTATTCTACGGTTTTCGACCATAAGCAAAACCTAAACCATAGATTGAGCTTTAAAAGGCCCCGACATGACAAAAGTGAAACAATTCAACAATAAAGACTGTTAAGACTGTTCCTACATTTTTTATACTTCGTGTGTATTGCCAATTCATAGGTAATACACATTGAATATAAACAATTCAAACATAATATTATTGCTTTGTCCTATCTGTTTAATATGCAGACATATACTTTTTATTCCTGATGTACATTAATGACATTGTCAATTATATGTAACTGTCAATCATTATTTTTTTTTATTTCTTTGTTACTTGTCATTTAAAGGGTTATGAAGTTTCTTTAACCTACATTTTGTCTAGCTAATAACGTTGAATTATTCATTTAATCTGCTCAAAATAATTGTTGAAACACGTAGTATTTTGAAAATTCGTAGTAAATTTCAATATACATGATGATCACTGTTTTCCTGCCGAAGATATGCGGTTCTCTCCGGTCACTCCAGTTCATCCACCAAAACAAAAAGACAAAACTGGCCGCCGCATAATAATCAATATGGCTGAAAGTGACGTTTAGCATGAAAAATAAATAAATCAATCTATCTATACATGTAACTATATTGTACACGGATATGTATTTTCATATTCTTTTAACCCACCATGCATTCCTCCTTTTTGATTTTATCATGGAGCTCGGTGTTTATTTTAATATTCTTTCCCCCTTCAAACGTTCACTTATATAAAAAAAAAAATATATGGTATGATTGCCAATGGGACAACTCTCCACAAAAGACCAACTGACACAGAAATTAACAGCTATAGGTCACCGTATGGCCTTCAACCATGAGCAAAGCCCGTACCGTATAGTCAGATATAAAAGGCCCCGAAATCACAAATGTAAAATAAATCAAACGGGAAAACTAACGGCCAAATCAATGTACAAAATATGACAGAAAAACAAATATGTACATGTTGAAACACAGCAACAAACGACAACCACTGAATTACAGGCTCCTGACTTGTTTTTATCCTGCAACTAAGTCCTAACACTTTAATGTGGGGTCAATATGTTTGTTTGCTGGATCATAACAAAAAGTTAAAATCATTATGATGCAACAACTGGGAGACAGTATTACCTCTCAGATCTATTCTAACCTCATTACATGTCAGAGATAGCTGATAAACATCATTGAGGACATACTGTTTTCGAAACTTCTGCTAAAACGAAATGTGATTTAAGTTTAGTTCTTAAAGAATTACATATTTTAGGATTTATGCTTTTTGTATTTGATGAAAAGACAAATTAAAAATAGAAAAAGAACAGGAAGTTTATAATATATATATAAATTAGTTAATAGAAGATTATACAAATTTATATATTTCGTCGTTTTGTTACTACTGTAACAATGATTGTCTTTAGAACACGCTTCATACATCCTGTCATTGCTACATGGCAAAGTCCAAAATGTCCATATGTTACCCACCAAAAGTAAGAAAACCCTCTAATTGCTACAAAATTATTATAAAATACACGTTTAAAAAAATTAACATTGTGATTCATCTTAATTACAAAAAAAAAGGAAAATATATTTTAAAATACCTTAAATTCTTTTCTGTCATACAAACGTACGAAAAAGCATTTTTTTGTCAAACCTGCCAGATTCTTTTTTTCTAAAAGACACTATCAGATTTTAATGAAAACTTAAAAACAGTTTCATTAAAAGTCTAACACCAAAACTTACTACCAAATGTAAATAAAACATTCCACTGAATAGAGAAATAATTCACAACTAGCTATGAAGCCATTGCATGTTGTCTCGGCGAAGACTACTACATAGTGACAATACAAAATCATATGTTTGAAATTAAGTACATGTTACGGAAAGGCCATATCTTATCTATTGTTTGGTAATAAACACGACAATGATTAATGACTACATGTTTGATATATAAAGGAAGACCTAGATCAAACATTTATTATTACAAATATTGAGCGAACGTTTTTTTTTAACATTTCTGTCTATGTATCACATATCAATTTGAGGTCCTTTTCGCGGTCCGCATTAAAGCAATGTCAATTTATATAAAAGTCATATCACACCTCCCTATTTAAGACCAAGTTTTGGAATACAAACTTAACGTTTGAGTGTTAAGACTTAATTGCAGAATTAAAAAAAAAAACACAAATATGATCACTCTCATAATACATACAATGTATGCATACTTGCCACAAAACAGAAGAAAATATCTATTTAAAGGATCGAACAAGTAAATTTTATATTTTATGATATATATTGTCTACATATATTGTGCATGTATATCTCAGTCACAATAAAGTTATTAGATAGTCGATAATGGCCTTTCAGCTCCCGTTTTATAAGGACGACATTGGTGGTAGGAAGTGGTATTTGGTCTCCATTTCTATAGTCTTTTATTTTGACAATTCTATGTATTGCCTCGACGAAGTCGGAAAGACGATATGAAAAACATATGTGGTATGATTGCCAATGAGACAACTATTCACCAGGGATCAAGTTTGCTGATAAAATGCCGGGTAGTTTCAATGAGGGGGAAGGAGGGGGGGGAGGGGGGGGGGGGCATTTAAAAACAAATTAGTGGAATTCTCTGTGAACATTGAATGTATACTCAATTAAGTATCAAGATCATCTCGTGCACGTTACTTTTTAAGTTTTCAATAGGACCGTACATACAAACCTTAGATATACTCTTCGTGATGAAATTATTACACATTTTGTATTTCTGTAGCTAACAATCTTTTAGAATAAGATTACGAAGTATTTCAAGTGTCGTCTGTTTACAAATAATATCTGAAACATAAAGACATGACAGGGGTTGCTCGGTTTATTAATGTTTCAACTGCACTATTTGAGCATCTAAATTGCATTGACCGTATATTCAGGATGTTCTTATGTGATACACAGCAACTAACCGTGTATCGCCTTGTTTATGACGATGACAATGCGTTTCCGTAGAGTTTTATTTAATTGGTTCGGCTATTATGGGCCACCAATAGTGATTTTTAATAAGTAAATAAGACATTCTGTTGGTAATGTTATAAGTAAACCAAAGAAGACAGCTATGTTATACGTGAAGTGTTAGTTGTTAAACGTGTAATTATACTTTGCTTATGGATAGTTAATTGGCTGTCAAGTGGGCGTGTATTTAAGAATGTGGAAGACTAACTTAAAGATATGTCAACCTATGAAATGAACGTACAAGATAGATAATACAAACACACCAAATGTGCTGACGAGTAGAAAAATTACCGATAAAAGATGTTCATGTGTTTGTGTTTCAAAGTTTACTTTGGAAACAATGAGCTCAAATATACAATGTGATAACTAAGTAGCTTAGTAAGTAGAGTCTACGACTAGTTAAAAACTTTTTAGTTTGAATAACTAATATTTCTAATCTATTATGCTTGGGGTTATTTTTAACTTTGGTTAAACGGTATGTAATGTGGATTGCAAGAACTAATAGAATTATCGTTACTGCGTATGTGTTATGCCATAGACCATGTATTACCACAATGAGAATCAATAATATGGTTTTAAAAGTCACATGCTTACGTTTGTGAAATAGTTGAACATAAATATACACTTGATGCATAAATTGTTATACTAATAGAATATAAAATTAGATATAGATATTCGATTAAGCATTATGACAAATTGTTAACTATATGATAAAACATAATTTTCTAGAGGTTATTGATGAGTAAACGGGCGATTAACTCATAACTTTTATGTAAAATTTGTGAGTACCCGACCTGGTTAACACAGCAATAACCTCTAGAAAAATGTGTTTTATCCTTATACTTCTTAAGTTAAACATTTGCAATTTTTAATGGACAATGTTTTGTTTATTGGCTACTATTTATCATTAATTGAACTATTCACATGTCGTAACTAAGGAGTTAGCCGCAATATTGACTTTGTAATATCAATGACTACCACGGTTTCGATTTATGCCATAGAATCTAAAATGAAATAACACCTACCTCAAAATCTTCGTTTAATGATATATTATTCAAATTTGAAGCGTAAAAGTAACAGAACAATAATCAGTTTGAGAGTTTTCATTCGTATTACGGCATTCTTTTCCATGACGTAAACGCACTAACATCAATGAAGACCAATTTTTGTGTAAAACACTAAACTTTATTTTCATTGTGGGAAATTGAAAAAAAAGGGTACTTTCCATGACGTTAACGCACTAAGATCATTCATAATGTTACGTGGAATTATATTTTATTTTAGTTTCATACGTTTTCCAAAACTCCGAGACAGTGGTGACATAATGCTAAGCTTCTTAACAGACAAAAGGAAGTCTGACCCGAACGATAACGCTGCATGGAGTTTGACATTTTCCAAGCTTCAATACATATTTGTTTTTGCGTTAAAAAATAATGACAGTTATACATGTTTGTTTTTTAATTTCAATTTGCTTAGAACACCTGGATCCCATAAGCATGCATGAGTGTCTCGCATGAGTAAATCACAGTAAGTGTTACAAAGTAGTTTCGGCAACATGGTTTATCGAAGTGTAAACCAAAGGAAAATATTTTAACGGACCAATCCGATTCAAGTATTTGTATATTTGCAAATAATAAGAATTATTGCGGCATACTTAAAATTGACGATTGATATTAATCTTACTAAACATGAATAGTGTACGCATATTATTGAAATATCTTGATACTTATTCGTATTTTGTTTTAGAGACAATCTTTAAATTTATTTAAAATTAGAATAAAAGAAATGTTTGCATTGAGTATATATTTTCAAATATTAGTTTATTTCAATATACAGTATATCAGTTTTAGTTTTGCTGCAATAAAAATGTAAGTGTGCGACAAATGGTGAATACGAATTATTAAACACAATAGACTAAAAAGCAAGCAAATATAAAATAATACTATGAGATATAAAATAATACTCTGAGATATAAAATAATACTTTGAGATATGAAATAATTCTATGAGTCAACTGTCTCAATGTTTAATGGCCGCTATGATTTAATTAATTAGAAGACCTCTTCGCGTTCCTAATTAACACCATGTCAATTTCTATAAAAATCAAACCACAAATCATTTTTGTGAAGACCAAGTTTTGTGTAAACACTAAACTTTATAGTGTAAGTACTTAGTTGCAGGATAAAAACAATTACTTTCATTGTCGGAAATTATAAAATATATTTGAGACTCGCTTCAAAACAGGATAAAGCTCGGCGGGCGTCGATTTTCATCCTGTTGGTTCTTGCAAATAAATGTTATATTTTATGTACGTATCACTCCCAACATCTCCACCAACGTGGCTGATAATCCCAAACGTGTCTATTTCGTTCAAATGTGTCCTCAAAATCTCGAATTGCCAAAACGTATTCGATTTTTCATTCCCTTAAACGTGTCCGATAATTGTTAATCGCCAAAACGTGCCCACTTCAAAACGCCAGAGTGTCTCAAATTTTTTTAGCGCTATTATGTCTTCAGTGAAGTCAATAGCGTTTACGGTAATTCAGTGATGGTGGACACGATTGTAGACGTCGGGGTTTGATTGCAAGATTTGAAAAAAGGTCAAAGTCTATCAAAGGACATTTAAAAGAAAGGGTTATAGTGATGCGTATAGACAAATCCCCAAGACATTTTACACTATCCACAGTAAAAAATGAAATCACTGACTTCTGCTGTCAAATAAACAGACACCATATAGGAAAAAGATTGGCACAATCAAAAACTATTTTTAATTTCAGTGCATTCTGTGTCAGTTTTCCGTAAATAAATAACGACGGTGAAATAGGATATTAAAATATAGATAAAAAAAGTTAAACCAAGTCAATTTTATATATAATTGCATTTTGCTAAGCTACATTGAACGTTGTAGTATCATTTTGAAATTCAAAAAATTCTACATGGGGAATTATAACGATTTTTTTAAGCGTTAATGTACCCTAACGATATACAATTTTGAATGAAGGCTATATGTATACGTGTGTACGTTAGAGTAGGTAAAATCTAACCCATTTAAAGCACTGTGATACAAATTCACATAATTCAATGTGGTTTGCACTCAAACTGGTTACCTGTAAAATTTGTTAATTTTGAAGTGTTTCATCATTCACAATTCAGTTTGGGAATTACGAAATATTATATTCTATGATATGAAAAGTTTTAAACGAAAATTGAAACAAAAGTAGTTGAAAAGGTACAGTAATTATTTTGAATTCTATCAAATAGTATTGTGCAATGTACAAAAATTATGAATTGTTTTTATACTAATTAATTCCAAACGGAAACAAGAAAAAAAAAACCCTATCCATTCTTTGGATAATAATCTCCGTGCATTTTACCCGAATAATTTAAGTAAGGATATTGATAAAAAGCATGTAATATTGAAAAGTCTAAATGGTACACAAACGTTTTAGCATATTTCAACCAATTACTATTTAATAAAAGTATTACTATATAGTTCTATTAACCATAATAAAAATTACTTTTGATGTAAGATTTTTAGATTTTGAAACTTAAAAAGGAGGCCTTGTAAATTAAAAAAAGTTTCATATTGTATTACTTGCGTCGACATCTAGACGTAAAAACAAACGGACTCTTGTTATGTACCAATGACTAGAAATACAAACAAAGGAGAAGGGGCATTAAGACTCGTTTTTGGCCCAAGAAAATAAAATGTTTGACAACTATTCCAAATTAGCACATAATGTTTGGAAATGCATAGAGTTAAGAAGTACAAATGAAAAACATAACATTTTTTATCTGATGAAGTCACAATTACGTCATTATATGTACCGCTTTCATGAAAACGATGAAAAATACAGAATTTATGCAGTTTTCCATCGTTATTTCCATTATGGAAATATTGTGCGCAGTCAATAAAACAATAAAATAATTTAAGAGAAGCTTTATTATAACTATTGACATAATCTCACTTAATATAAAGTTGTTTTTGGATGCGCACATACTTTGCCAATCTAAAATATACTTAAAATTTGACGAAAAACAATGAAAATCCAGAAATTTTACAAAATATACATATTTCGTCATGGTTGGTTGCCATGATAACTCGTTAAATATAAAATTTGTTTTTATTTTCTACTACCTTGTACCTTATTCTAGTAAGGACAAATTCAAGAATATGTAGGATAAGTTTTAAATTTGCAGTTATATTGGGGCCAAATAAGGGCCTTATTGCCCCTACTCCTTTCGATATTAAGAAGTAACACCATTATATATAAACAATATCAAGAAGAAAACTTAAACTAATCTTATGTGTGGTCATAAATATTACAATCTTTCTGCTGTACCTGAATTTTTGACGTTTTTACATATTTTGCTCACAAATTGCTGTCAATATAATTGAATTCTATGCGACTGTCATACTAGTGAGAGGTTTAGATAGCTATAAAACGAAGTTTAATCTACCATTTTCTAACGGAAATGCCTGTATCAAGTCAGGAATATGACATTTACTTTCCATTCGTTAGATGTGTTTGAGCTTTAAACTTTGCCATTTTATAAAGGACTTTCCGTTTTGAATTTCCCTTGGTGTTTTTGGTATTTTACGTTTTTTTTTTATATGTCAGTCTAAACCTGATTTTAACCAACTAAAGCTTGCCGTAAACAAAAACACAATATATGTAAAACTGTTAATTCGTATTGATTAAATCTGTTTCCAGGACAATATGAATCATGTTTTAAACCAAATTAGGGAGGAAAATTGACAAAGCGAATGTATGGTTTATTAAAAAAAACAACCACTACAATTTATACATCTCATCAAGTGACTTAGACAACATTGTTTCAAAGAATGATTAGTGCTATGGATCAGTTTTAAACCTTTAGAAAACAGGAAGGAAAAAAACTACCCACTTTTCAGACGAATTGTGTGTTTCATAATGGGGTGTGTTGAGAATGAATTCAGTCACAGGTTAATACTAATAATGTTTCACTAAAATTAATATAACTCGAAAATTAAAACTACTATTTAACAATTTCATATTGAGAAAAGCAGACCTTGAAGGACTTTTTTTTTAATTTTTAATAATACAGAATCATACAAGGCAACAATATAAAAGAAAATGCGATTTTGAAATATTTCAATTCAGACAAATTCCTATCAATCGTTCGATAATAGAGGTAGGAACAAAACCTATACAATCATTTGAATAATTTTCTATATACGTTTTGTTTCAATGTCTATTGGTCTTGGTATTAAATGAATGTCATCATTTTTTTAAATTAAATTATAATTAAATGTTTAATTAAATAGTATTACTCATATTTTTATATACAATTTTTTCATTTCAGTGAAATAATTTCTATGTATTTCATTATATTTCA